GAGCCACAGGCACTGCCCTATGGTGATCTTCTTGCTGGTCTTGCTGTTTTTGGACCCAAAGTGCTCCATGGCTTCTACAACATTCATGCCTTCTTTCACATCCAACCACTCAGTCTTGGTAGTGCAGATGAAAAACTGGAAACCAGGTGGCGCCTGTGGCTCAGTGGGTAGGGCGCCAGCCCCATATACCAAGGGTGGCAGGTTCAAATCCAGCCCCAGCCAGCTAAAACAGAAGTGGCAACTGCAATAAAAATAGGCCCTCTACCAAGGGCAACAAAATGAGACTGTCTCAAAAAACAGAAAAAAGAAAAACTGAAAACCATTTGTGTTGGGTCCAGCATTTGCCAGGGAGAAGATGCCAGGACGTGTATGCTTCAGGACAAAATCTTTTTTTTGTAGAGACAGAGTCTCACTTTATCCCTCTATAGAGTGCCTAGGCGTCACACAGCTCACAGCAACCTCAAACTCCTGGGTTTAGGTGATTCTCCTGCCTCAGCCTCCGGAGTAGCTAGGACTACAGGCACCCGCCACAATGCCCAGTTATTTTTTGTTGCAATTTAGCCAGGGCCGGGTTCGAACACACCACCCTTGGTATATGGGGCTGGCACCCTACCCACTGAACTATAGGCGCCACCCCAGGACAAAGTTTTCATCTTTAAATTTCTCCCCATAGATAGACTTGCCACCAGTGCCATTATGGTGTGTTAAGTCACCACCCTGGCACATAAACCGTGGAATATTTCTATGAAAGCGGGAACCCTTATAACCAAATCCTTTTTCTCCAGTGCTCAGAGCACAAAAGTTTTCTGCTGTCTTTGGAACCTTGTCTGTAAACAGCTCGAAGGAGATGCGGCCCAAGGGCTCGCCGTCAGTGGCAATATCGAAGAATACGCTGGGATTGGCCATGGCTGATACCAGAAGCGGCAGGATCTGCATAGCCTTTCTTTTTTTGTTTGTTTGTTTTTTGTTTTTGAGACAGAGACTCACTTTGTCACCCTCAGTAGAGTGCCGTGGTGTCATAGCTGACAGCAACCTCAAACTCCTGGGCTTGGGTGATTCTCTTGCCTCAGCCTCCTAAGTAGCTGTGACTACAGGCACCTGCCACAATGCCCAGCTGTTTCTTTAGAGATGAGGTCTCAGTGTGGCTTAGGCTGGTCTTGAGCCTGTGAGCTCAGGCAATCCACCCGTCTCAGCCACCCAAGTGCTAAGATTACAGGCATGAGCCACAGCGCCTGGCCTAATTTTTCTATATTTAGTAGAGACGGGGTCTTACTCTTCCTCAGGCTGGTCTAGAACTCCTGAGCTCAAGCTATCCTCCCATCTTGGCCTCCCAGAGTGCAAGGAGTATAAGCATGAGCCACTGTGCTTGGCTGTTTCCCAAAAATATATTCTTTTTGTTTTTTGAGACAGAGTCTCACTTTGTCACCCTGGGTAAGAGTGTCCTGTAGTTGTAGCTCACAGCAACCTCAAACTCTTGGGCTCAAGTGATTCTCTTGCCTCAGCCTCCCTAGTAGCTGATGGGACTATAGGTGCCCATCACAATGCCTGGCTATTTTTTAGGGACAGGGTCTTGCTCTTGCTTAGGCTGGCCTCAAACTTGTGAGCTCAAACAATCTACCCATCTAGGCTTCCCAGAGTGCTAGGTTTACAGGAATGAGCTACCACGCCCACCACCCCCCACCCCTACCAAATATTTTCAGTCAAGGTGGGTTGAATCTATGAATTCAAAGCTCACATATGCAGGAGGCTGATTATTCTTAAACATCTTCAAGTAGATATGTTAAATAAGTAGTTGTAGATGAATATGGAGTTCAAGGAAAGGTCTGGTATGGAGATATAATTTGAGAGTTATTGACATTCAGATGGGATTTACTAGTGAAACTGGTGGAGAATTATTCATTTCAAGGGCCCTTGCTTTTTCAGTCTGCTTTTTCTCTAATTCCTGCTCTTTTGCCTTTAAACGAGTGTTGTTCTCTCGGTGGTAGTCTTTTCTATGTCTTATTCTTTGTCATTCGCAATTGTCTTTTTACTTGTTCTTTATGACAAGAAGTTCTCAATTTATTTAATGTGTATGGGCATATTTCAAAATACTGAATACATAGGAAAGAAGAAAAAAGGGAAAAATCTTTTATAAGTATAGGTCCTAAAAATTTCTAACCATCATTAACTCTTCTACTATTGTTTCACTTCTCAGAAATACATGTTAACTTTTGGTGGCCATCACTAGAGACATCTTTTTTTGTTGTTTTATTAGACAAAATTTTGGTGGGGGCAAGTGTGGTGGCCTGTAATCTACCACTCAGGGAGGCTGAGGCAGAAAGATGCTTGAGACCAGGAGTTTGAAACCAATTTGAGCAAGACTCCATCTCTACAAAAAGTAGAAAAATTAACTGGGCATGCATGGCAGCATGTACCTGTAGTCTCAGCTACTTGGGAGACTGAGGCAGGGGAATTGCTTGAGCACAGGAGTTTGAGGTTGTAGTGCGCTATGATGACTCCAGTGCATTCTAGCCTGCGTGACCGAGAGTAGCTTGGGGCAATCTTCCCACCTGCATTGCCTCTCTTGAGCTACCACCCTTGGCCTGGATATCTTTCTTTTCCGACATCTGGTTAAAAGGACTGATGGATAGGTAACTGGATAACTCACTAATTGGAAATAATTTTAAAAGAATAGGATATATTATGCACATTATTGTCTTTAAAACAAAAGGCATTATATTTAATTTTGTATCTATTGAATAGAAAAAATGAATTCCTGCCGTGAAAGATAAAGTAATTAATACTTAAATTTCTACTATTCTTATCCCTTCTCTCCTATTCCCTTCCCTTAACTTTTTACTTTTTTTCTTTTTTGGCTCAAGAGTCAACTTGATTCTTGACCCTCACCTTTAATTATTATTATAGTTTTATTATTTCTGTTCTGCACCCATAATTCCTTCAGCTATAGTGAGGATTCTGTATTTCAGTGGATTTAGTGTTTACCACTCAGGTTTTATCTTTGCAAATGTTAAAGGGCATGATTTCCTGTCCAGTCATTTTTTCATTACAAAGGCTGGAGGGTGTTATATTTTTGAACATGTTTATGGTTGTGAATTTCTGCTTCTTGCCTTTGTACTTGAAAAAGAGATTGCACGTTAACATGTTTAGTCCTTCAATATGTGATGCCTTGGGCCACCTTGGGACTCTATTAGAGTCCCCACCAAGAAGAAGGCTCATTGGATGTGGCCCCTGGTACTTGGACCTCTCAGCCTCCTTAACTGTTAGAAATAAATATTTCTGGCTCAGCGCCTATGGCTCAAGTGGCTAAGGCACCAGCCACATACACCTAAGGTGGCAGGTTCAAATCCAGCCCAAGCCCGCCAAAACAACAATGACAGCTGCAACCAAAAAATAGCCGGGCGTTGTGGCGGGCGCCTGTGGTCCCAGCTA